CCTCTTCACTTGAACTCATATCAATCACAGGAGCTGAATCCAAGCCCAGAGCCACAACACTTGCCTATCAAAGAACTTGTACACTTGCCTTTTGAAGAACTCTGGAGTTTGTAAGTGATTTGTTGCTGGGTTGTGTGGTGAGGTTTCAGAATTGTGGCTGCTTGGAAAATGCCACCTCTGGGTTCATGCCACTCAGCCGAGCAAGAAAACAGCTTGCTTTGCTTCCAAACTACAGAGCTCTTCAAAAGGTAGGTGCATAGTGGATGACATGAGATAAGGAAAAGGGTATTGGGCCCAGTGGGATGGAAAGCAGGCCCAAGGCTTGTGGGGTCTCTGAGGAGCAGGAAGTGGAACATGGGATGCCTTAAGGGTGGGGAAGGCTTTGGAAGGCCTGAGTCAGGGTCTCCTCCAAGGGCCCAAGCCACCCCATGCTTTGCTTAATGATCCACACGCTCATTTAACAACCACATTGGGAAGAGCAGGGATGATCCCGTGGGTACTTCACTTAATGAGCATCATGATTTCTGACTGTAATGGGCAGGCTGCATTACAGTCATGACCTGAAGACTACCTCACCAGGATTTTGTGATTCTGTTAGACTGTTCCTCCATAGAAGTGTCAAGATATTCTTAGAAGATAGTGCTTCTAAGTTCTAAGAACTAGAATTAAGAACTTCTAAGATACCATGATTTCCCACCAATATGTACTTCTGATTGGACAGGTTTAAGTTTTGAGTGGGTTCTCCAAATTCAACAGCAGGTCCTTGCCAAAGCAAGGGGGAAGAATCAACATAAAGATGTGAGATGTATTTAACTGCTCAATCAGGGCCAACACCAAGACTAAGCAAAACAACAACAAAACAGTATTGTCAATTACTCTCAAAACAGTTTTAATGCTTTATTTATTTATCTACTCAGAACATTTCTGTACCACCCTTCATCCTGATTGGATTTTGGCTGACACAAGAATGCCTTCGCTCCATCCCATTACTGGATTAGATGATTATAGACCAAGCAAGGCTCTATGTCCTGTGATGAACGAAGACAGGATGTAGAAAGACCACACAGCACTTTCCCATCATGGGCAGTCCCAAAGTTCATTAAGAAGATCTCCCTGGACTTCTCTCACATGCACTCCAGATTTCTAGCCAGCATGCATAATCCACAAACTACCAGTCAGTTCCCAGAAGCACATCTGAATGAAAGTGCAGATGGCCAGCAGAAAAATATAGCAACCGTGATCAGTCTTTTTCCAGCTGTTCCTTTCTCCCTGATGTACAACTGTGGATCATAAAAGTGAGAAACCTCAATCTCCAGTATGGCATATACTCATGGAAAACAATGGCAACAAATCTTTCAAAGAAAGTTTTCAGACAAAAAAAATATCAGGAAAGAAAAAATGAGCAAAAACAACAAAAGGGATTTATTTCTGCCACTAACAATTAATTACCTCAGAAATATTAGTATTTATTATTTCTTTCCTGATATTTATATATCCCAGTCTCAAGACTCTAGGAGGTACGCAGAATAGTTAGGTAACAATTAGAAACAGAACTTAAATAAAACTCTGGTTTAATTTATTGAGGATTTTATAGTCTATATTTTTGTTTTGGCTTCCCTGGACACATCCATGTTTCCTCAGTGACATTTGGAGTCATTTGCCTAGCAAAGTAGTGCCACTGATTCCTTAAGGCAGAAAGCAGTAAAATACAAATCTAGCACATTCAGAAGGAATAATCTGTCAGGTAACATGTTAGGTAGCTAGCATGTATTGTGTGACTATTCCCATGCTGCAAAGGCATGTTAGAAATTTGAGATTTCCTTGGTAAATTATAGTTGTGCGGTGGATCAGTCAAAACAGAAATTCCAAGAAATTTCTACCATACCCAGTATTAGTTAGCAGAGCTGAATATGTTCTTGGCTATTTCCAGTTAGGATAAATAATATAGTATGCACTATGTGACGCTGGTTAAGGAAGCTTCATATATTCACATATTATGGTTCCTTTCTATTTAGGCATTATATATGAGAGTGATGAAAAGGGAACTTTACCATCTTTTAGGACAGTGGTGGTTAACCTTTGGGGGCTCCTTTTCTGAAAATTGTGCATGCCACCCAGAAGGCAATGCGCGTGCCACCCTGCACATGCTCATGCAATCTCCCCGCAGCCCCCTTACCTGCACTGGGCACCTCCCAGCTGATTTTTGGCCCGTTTGAGGCCTTTTTCGGCCTCCCAGAGGCTCGCGAGAAGCCTTTGCAGCCTTTGGAAGATGAAAAACAGGCCTGTTTCTTCACTTCCGGTATTTCTGGAAATACAGGAAGTGACAAAATAGGCCTGTTTTTTGGCCTCCAAAGGCTGCAGAGATTTCCCTGGAGCCTCTGGGAAGCCGAAAAAGGGCCGAAAATCAGCTGAGAGGCACGCGCACGTGCAGTGCAGGTAAATTTGGCTGGGGCTCGCGAGCCATAGATTTGCCATCACCGTTTTAGAAGAACAATAAAATGCACAGAGTAGCAGCTTTTCCATGGAGGGAGGGCAAAAACACCTGATTTTTAAAAAGCAAGTATACAGATGATAGAATAAAGAGGAAATTTTTAAAAATGGAGGAATCGATCACCAAGTTTTGGAGAAACCTCCGTTAGTTATTAAACTGAATGCCCTTCAGAATCATGAGAAGCAAAGTAGAAACATGACAGGGAAAAATTCAGATGAGAACAGTAGAGTGAACCCGATTCTTACTCAGGCATAAACTATTAATACATACCTTGCTTTATAAGTGGAGCACTATTATTACTAATAGTACTAAAAACCATGTGATCATCATCTATTTTTAGGGAATTGGCTGAGGGGACTGAAATAAAAAAAAGTCTGATCAAAATGGTATATTGGGACAGAGAAAACAGTCATTAACATCTATTTACTACCCCAAGGCTGTAGTTTCCTGAAATTCTCTTTTCATTTGAACTTAGTTAAACATAAGGAACAGTTTTCACTTCATATTCATTTGTTTACATTAAACTGAAAAAGGAGTTTATTCCCCACCTTCTGTTCTACCTCATACTAACTTGTTAATGCATTGTTTATAGCAATAGCCCTTAGACTTATATACCGCTTTATAGTGCTTTACTGCCCTCTCTAAGCAGTTTAGAGTGAGCATATTGCCCCCAGCAATTTGGGTCCTCATTTTGGAAAGATGGAAGGCTGAGTCAACCCTGAGCCTGGTGGAATTTGAACTGTCAAATTGTAGGCAGCTGGCTGCAGAAGTAGCTTGCAGTACTGCACTCTAACCACTGCGCCACAAAGCTCATCTAACTCATTATGTAGCTCTTTCAGTGAATACTTCAGGACTCCTTATCATCTTTGCTTTTTCTCCCCAATTATGAAAGCACATGCTATCAACCGCCCATACATGCAACCTTTAAACTGAACATGAATAAATTTCCGTTGCAACTCAGCAGACACGCTATCGTTCCCACATGCTTTGAATTCTATTAATTCCAAATTCTATTGAAGCAGTGGGAAAATTACACATAAAGCACTTTTGTATTTGGTGGGGTCCCCCAGTTCCCCAAGGCTTTGATTAGTACAATGTTGTGTAAAACCTCAAGGTTATTGAACCAAGGAACTAACCATATTACAGTAAACAAGGGTGGATATGGAAAATAACAGATGGTGTAAGATAAAATGAGTAATTATATGTACTTCTCTTTTCCTGGTATATATGTAATTCTCCTTTGTTGGTATAGTTTAATAAAAGTAACGCCCTGGGCTAAGCTGAGGTCATGATATGTATAAAAGTGATGCCTCAGGAAGAGCCAGGGGTTCAGAATTTGCCATTCTAATGCTCTGAGCCTTGTGCGCAAATAAAAACATGTATTCTCCAACCTTTCGTGGTCTTGTGTCCTAATTTGGAAACAGGATCTATTGCAACACTATCAGCCATTGGTATTTTAGCCAATAAAGTTACTTTCTAATAAAGATCTGGAAGGACAGAAACTCCCTATTCCTGCCTTACACCAACGGACAATAATAGATGCAGTTAGGTACTAAGTAATGGCTCCACTTACCCCTGTCATGGCAGGTATTTTGGCATTCTTGCAAAGATTTAAAGTTGTTTTGGTTTCCCAGGCAACCTCCATATTGGAATTTTTCACACTGCTGTGACTCTTTGTTGTAGAAATACCTGGAAAGTAATCCTCGGCAAATACCAGGGTCATTTTCCAAAAGGCAGAAGGAAGGTTTTTCTGTGAATTAGGATTGTTTCAGGGAGGAAAATAATGTCATTTCTTTCCACTGTCCTTATTCTCTCTTAACCTCATGAAAAAATTATTCAGTTCAAACTAAAGTAAAATGCTACTCAGTCCCATTGACTTCAGGAGGAAAGATTTAGGACCTTCTTCAATACTCTAGTTTTATAGGTGGAATATATTTTTTTTGTATATCCAGAATGTGAAACATAATGTAATCGCACTATCATCCATAGTACTTGTCTAGGGACTTGCTATATACTCTGCTTTGGTTTGCAAAAAATATGGCTGATTCAGTTTCCATGATAGCCCTACCTGAGATGGAATGTGCTGACTTTTAAAAGCCTGGGTTTATTCTGATATTTTCAGCCACAATTAAGGCAATAGCCCTCAAGAGAGTGGTAAACTTTTTATGCTGCTATAATATTTAATATTTAATTTCAGAGTCCAGATGGCCTCAATTTTTCAAAAAGCTGTGCTACGATAGAAAATGTCTTTAACAAAAATATGAGATTTGTATCTTTTTTCTTTCCTCCTTATACTCAGTTGTCAGGCTTAAACTGAGTTATATTTATGCAGTCTTCAAATGTATGCTACAAAAATGATCTTACCACAATGCTGAAAGTAAGAACAGCTGCTACAACTTCTAATGCAGGGGAAAATGGACAATAGTTTGAAAATCTTGGTCCAAAAGATTGCATAATGATAACTCGGCCAAATTTGTCAATTAAATATCCGACTTCTCATTCTGATATTTAAAAAAATATGTCCTGCTTTTACTTCAGGAGCTCTAGGTGGCATAAATACATACCATTCCTTTCTTCTACTTTTCATGCTAACAACAGTGCAGTGAATCAGGTTGGGCTGAGAGAATAATTGGCCCAAAATTACCTAGTAATCTCTTGTATGTTTTTAACATCCTAATTGTTTTATATTGTTGTTTTATGATGTTTTAACCTACCCACAGTTGTTTGACAATAAGATGGATGGCATATGAATTTAATAAAAAAACTGGGGATAGATATGAACTTGGTTCTCCCACTTTTAATCCAACAATTTGAGCACTATATCTATGTTAATCTAATTACAGTGAAATACTCTGCATCATTTCATTTTAATCTCAAACTTTAAACCTGGGGCCAAATTTTGGTAATATGGGAAGAAATTAATTTATTTCTGGATGAACCAAACTTATTGTTAGTGGCATTCAGAGGTCTTTCTTCTTCATCCCTATATCTCCTAAAAAAGAATAGCTAGCACTGTCCTCTGTCAGTGTTTGATCCAGAAATTAATGTCTGAAATGAAATCAACTTAAATGCAATTCTTCCAAAACTGTGGATTCTTATGGGTAAAAATATCCTTCTGAATAATAATAATAAAAAAGAATCTCTGTCTTGCAACATATTGATTCTAATTCTCATGCTATTGCTTTCCTATTGCTTTGATTGGCTTCAATGGGTTTCAAGATAATGGCTTTTTACAGTCAAGATATTCATGTGCAAGGCAAAGAAGATAGCCACTTAAAACCTCATTAACTAAGGATAATGGAGTTGATGTGATATAAACACTAATAATTTATCTTGGCAATGTTCATTTCTCATTCATTATTCATTTTACAATACAAACTTGATTGTGATACAATTATATTACATTGTACATTGTAAGTTAAAAATTATTGTATTATATTGTACTGTTAATATGAAGCCCTCCAAAATGAAAATCAAATAACATAAATAAATGTGATCTCATTCTTGAGCCCTCTCCTTCTTATAGATGAAAGAAACACAAAAAATCATTATAGTTATTGTTTGCTATGATAAGTACAACATTCTGATAAGCTAGTAAGAAGTTGAGACATTTGAGTAAAATCTATATAGTAACTCAACCCAGCCATATTACTGTTAGGAAATTATTTCTTAATACTGAGAGATGACAAAACACAATGAAACAGTAAGTTACCATTCTTAAGTCTTAATTTCTTTGTCTTCTCTGGCACATCTGTAATGGAAAAAGTAATTTTAACTAGATCTAGAAATGTAACAGTAAAAGTCCTCATATCGGCATATTTTCTCTCTCTCTAATATAGATTGATATGATATATATGAATATAGTATGTAGGGGTGTGTGTGTGTGTGTGTGTGTGTGTGTGTGTGTGTGTGGTTTTAGAGACATAGATGATGATTGATGATGATGATGACTTGTTTTGAATAAAAACATCCTGTCGAGGTTGGTTTTCAGTTTTTTCTTTTGCTTCTCAAAATTTGCACATTACAGTTATTTTCAAAAATGTAGATTTACTTTGTCATTGCTGCATCTATACAGAATCCCTTGTCTTTCAGAAATATCAGAAGTGAAGCTGCCAAGCCATTAGTGTCATTGTGGGACTATGTTCCTCTGAATACATTAATTATCTCGCAGTGCAAGTTGACACTTGGCAGCTAATATACTTTAACATACTGAATTAAAGTATCAAGAATTAAAAAATCAGAATAAAAATCAAGAAAGACAGACATATAGTGTTGGGGACAATAACTCACAAATCACATATCAATAGCTTGTGCAAAGTCCTGGCCCAGGAAAAAGAACTAGGTCTAAAGCCCAGGAGAGTCAGGGCCATCTGAATCCGAGTTATTGGGGGTGGGGATGGGAATGCTATTCTACAGGACAACAACTGCGAGAGTTCCTGGGTTCTATAAAATAAAACTCTTTAATAGATGGCACTTGTAATATGTCAACTTAGTCCAATCTGGTTGGACAGGCTGAAATAATTGAGAGATAGTACCAATAAACTCTGCTGAACACGATAAAATCTGATTGTAAGAAATATACCCAAAGCATCTAAACTAATTTCAGCAACTAGACAAGCAATAGGCAATTCCTAGGGTTCAGGTAATCAAACTGAGAGATGCTACAAGTTATACATGCTGAAGAACATATAAACATCTTATAAGCATAATTCTTTTTCAAATCTTATATGTCATTATAAATTGACATTATAAATATATGGACACACATTTTTTTCAGAGGCATCAGAAAATGTAACTATGACATCTTTTTCAGTTCCAAATTCAGTGGGACTCCATGCTGTTTTGTTTTCCATGGGTATTCATTTATTATCTGTCAAATTTAGGTACTGCCCATCTTCCAGAGTGACTCTGGGTGGTATACGGTTAAAAGCATAAAAGCCATATAAAAATACAGTGCATCAATAAGAAGATTCAGATAAAAACAAGAATAAAATAAGTTAGAAGTTAAAAGATGGGTATGTATATGGGGAGGGAGGAGAGACTTCAAGGTGCCAACCACTGCTAGGGTTGCATGTTGCTCAGTGAGCTCCATTTGAGTTGACATGGGCAGGTCTTCAAACTCCTTCAAAAGGCCAGGAGCGTGATGGCCCACCTGAAGGGAGAATATTCCAGAAGATCTGGGAAATACAGGGGAGGCCCTTTTCCTAGACCCTTTTCATTCATTTAAAGAATGAAAGGGTCTATAACATACCTTCCCTGCCTGCATGATAATGTAACCTTCCTTCTCATCTTAAGAGAACTTTGAATTTTCTTGGAGATTAAGGCTGAGGGATCTGACTTACACCTTTTTTCCTTGGAGACTGGGATCTTATTTCCTCATCTGACTTTTGTTATGTTTGAATTAAAGTTGAACACTTCTCCTTACACTGCATTTGTGCACCCTTAAACATGCACCTGGGCCCTGACTGGTTCAACTTCTCCAGGTCAGCATATAAATGCATGATGTTTATTATACTTGCCCACTGCAGAGCTTTTCTCTTGCCTTGACTGAGTTAAGTAAGATTGTTTTTTCTGGCAGGAAGATTTATTAAAAGTTGCAGCTTGGGATTTTCTTAACCAGCCAGCTATTTGATAGTACTTTGCTGGAAACTCTGGGATAACTAAATCCCTGCTGAATTAACTTCTTGGTTATAAGATATATTTCCCACTTGGACTTTTAGTATATACAGGCATAACCTGTTTTATTGCGCTTCATTTTATTACACTTCACACTTAGTGCGAGTTTTTTTACAAGACCCTCCATCAGCAAAAAGATTATGACTCGCTGATGGCTCAGGTGATTAGCATTTTTTAACAATAAAGTATTTTTAATTAAAGTATATATATTGGTTTTCATTTTTAGACATACCATTGCACACTTAATAGACCACGATACAGTGTAAACATCACATTTATACAGACTGGGAAACCAAAACATTTATGTGATTTACTTTATTGCAATATTTGCTTTATTATGGTAGTCTGGAACAAAACCTGCAGTATCTCTGAAATATGTATTACTAAACCTGGATAACAATTGTTTTATATATATAGTGTTAATACTGATTGAAGTTTAAAACATGGAAATTGCCCAGAACATCAAATTTACATCTTTTGAAATAGGGGGTAGACTGATGGATACGTAGGACTGTTCATTTTAATGTTCATTTTGTCTCCTGAAAATGAGACATGGAACTTACTATTCAAAATATTTTTTCAAAGTTATATATCTATCTTTGATTTAGTTTTAATTCTAAGATTCAGGTGTGCAAGATTGCTTCACATGTACATGGCACCAAATTTAATTTGTGATATCTCCAGGGATGGCTGAAATCACTGACAATTTGGGAAACTACAAGAATAGAGTGAGTTGGATCAACAATCTAATTTGTTGCAAGGCTGTTCCTAACACTACCCCGGAACAGATATGAAGCCTCCAATACAAGCAAAAAGCAATATCCAGCTTTTTAAAAAATGACATTCTTGCCTGCTTTGTATTTCTGCTTTTTAAAACTTAATCTCAAAAATACAATCTGACAATAATATGCTGTAGTGGTAACTATTCTTTAATCTACTGCTTGAGGGAAATACTTTTTTCTATAACAACACCGAGACCATGGATGTCAAACTCGTGGTGTCATGTTGTTGTCATGTTGTTATCATTGTTGTTATCATGAAGGTTTTCAGCTTTGTTTGGGTATTTTCCCATGTCATTATAGTTGTGCTTTTAAAGTTGCAGCAATGTTTTGGCAGAATCTCATCTGCCATCATCAGGTTTCTGTATAGTATTCGTCGTGAAGCCTGATGGTGATGATGAACACTATACAGAAACCTGATGATGGCAGATGAGATTCTGCCGAAACATTGCTACAACTTTAAAAGCACAACTATAATGACGTGGGAAAATACCCGAACAAAGCTGAATACCATACGTATAAATACCTGTGAAAACTTAAGAATATATATATATATATTCCATTCCATTCCATTCCATTCCATTCTATTCTATTGGTTAAATACTCTTGCCCTGAGGACAATAATCAGTTTTAAAGGCACCACACAGTAGAAGAAAAATAAAATGGCTATGCTTCCTTTTCAATGAAGGAATATACATTTTTAAACCACATGCATATATTATATATCTGCATGCATATATGCAACACATTACTAAATGAGGAATGTAAAAACTTTCTCACTTTGTTAAAATTCTACACTTAATCTCAAATACTTCCCTCCAGTTCATGTATATATTTGTATAAATTCTGCAGGTACATAATAGGACAATCTGATAAGATGTCCAAAGAACTGGCTTTTGTCTGAGACTTAAAAAAAAGTGTTTCTTTAGAAAAAGGAAGAATTGTAGCAAGGAATATACTGACCTTTTACGATACACGTTTCTTGACATTCGTCTAGGGTTAAAAAGTTGTTTTCATTGCCTTGACATCCACCATAGTTGAAAAGTTCACAGTGACCAGTATGGATGTTGAAATGATAGCGGGTGTGCAGGGCTTTGCAAGGACCAGGATCAGCTTTCAAGGCACAGATTGGCATGCCTAGTATGAGTGGGGATGAATTGAGACCTGGAAGAAGGCAAATGACAATATTCAATATATTGCCTGATATAAATTGAACAGTGTAACAGCCAAATGTATTGGAAGGAATACAAACATGATGTATCATATACATTCAGTTCTTTTTCCAAGAGGTAGAATGAGAATATATGCAAAATATTCCTGTTTGGTCCAACACCACATTTCTCTCTCCCTCTCCCTTTCTCCCTCTGTGTATGTGTGTGCATATGTGTATGTATGTGTATGTGTGTGCACGTGCGTGTGCGCGCCTTCAAGACTTCTGAAGACTGCCTGGACTAGGTCCCTATAGGGTTTTTTAAATAATGCCTTTATTATTTTTATGAATTGAACAACACAACACTCCTTCCTCCTTAGTAAAGTTTTGTTTATCCTTGCCTCCTTCTTGGATCTAAAAGAGAATAATTGACCCAAAGTGACCCATTTGGTTTCATTTCTAAGCCAGGATCTGACATCTCCTAGTTTATAACTTGGTACCCTAGCCACTGCATCAAACTGGTTTTCATACTTTATGTATGGAATACCATTATGCCCTAAAATCAAATGAGTTTGTGCGATTGCTCTGGGAATAAAATAACCACAATTAATTAACTTTTAACTGTTATTCATATAGAATCCAGCAGTTTCATAAAGTAAAACTTTTCTACTGGATGTAAAACTCTTGAATCTAAAATCTAGATTTTAGATTATTTAGTGGAAAAAAAGCCCTTGCTAAGTCTGGCATTTAGACTGCAACTGAATTTTATTTATTTCTTGATCCACATTTACTTTAGGACAGAATTTGCTCTTGAAAATTGTGAAACATTGTTAGATACAAGGATATTTTGAACGAAAAGGGTGAGCTCAAAACGAAGCAAGAATTAAATGAACAAGAGTTTGATATGATTTGATATTCATATATGCAAATATATTCTAGATATGAAAAAGATGCGAAAGCAGAGGGTTTTTATAAAGAACTGACAGAATTGGATAAATATTAACAGAAACAGAAGAAAAAGTGATAAAAAACTGTATAACTACTTATTGGGTGTTAAATTGGAAGCAGAGTAAATGAAAGAGACGATGATAGCATGGGCAAAAATTTTTGGCTATGCGACAGAATTTGATAAATGGCAGAAACTATGGGATAGAAATTATAAATTAACAATATCAACAGTATATAAAGAAAATTTATATAAGATTTTTACAGGTAGCTTTTTGTGCCAGCAAGACTGGCAAAGGTATTTAAAGATAAATCAGCTAAATGTTGAAAATGTCACCAGACACTCGGAACGTATTAGCACATGTGGTCATTCACATGTGGTTGGAAAATATGATAAAACAACATATAGACCTAAACCCTGAAATATTTTTGTTAGGGATGATACCTGAATGTTATAGTAAAGAAAAGACATATCTAATTATTCATGTATTAACTGCAGCTAGAATAGTATTTGCTCAAAACTGGAAAAGTGAAAAGATTCTGATAGACAATGTGATTAGGAAAATATTAGAATGTGCAGAAATGAATAGATTAACACTAGCAATTAAAGGAAAAGAACAATCTGAATATTATATCATATGGGAATTATTTTATCAATGGTTGGAAAAGAAAAATGGAAATTAGAAATTAAATATATGAATATAGAAGATTTTACAAGTGAAACTCGAAAAATTAGAATATAATGCAAAAGTTCATTTATTTTAGTAATGCAACTTAAAAGGTGAAACACAGATATGAGATAGACTCATTACATGTAAAGCAAGATAGTTCAAACCGTGATTTGTCATAATTGTGATGATTATGGCTTACAGCTCATGAAAACCCCAAATCCACAATCTCAGAAAATTAGAATATTACATGCAATCAATAAAACAAGGATGGTACATAGAACAATATCGGACCTCTGAAAAGTATAAGCTGCCCCTTTTGCAGCATTTACTGCCTCAATGCAGTGTGGCATGGAAGCTATCAGCCCGTGGCACTGCTAAGGTGTTATGGAAGACCAGGATGCTTCAATAGTGGCCTTCAGCTCTTTTGCATTGTTCAGTCTCATGACTCTCATCTTTCTCTTGGCAATGCCCCATAGATTCTCTATGGGGTTCAGGTCAGGCGAGTTTGCTGGCCAATCAAGCACAGTAATCCAACGGTCATTGAACCAGGTTTTGGTGCTTTTGGCAGTGTGGGCGGGTGCCAAGTCCTGCTGGAAAATGAAGTCAGCATCCCCATAAAGTTTGTCTGCGGAAGGAAGCATGAAGTACTCCAAAATCTCCTGGTAGACGGCTGTGTTGACCCTGGACTTAATGAAGCACAGTGGACCAACACCAGCAGATGACATGGCTCCCCAAATCAACAAAGACTATGGAAACTTCACACTGGACTTCAAGTATCTTGCAGTGTGTGCCTCTCCATTCTTCCTCCAGACTCTGGGTCCTTGGTTTCCAAATGAGATGCAAAAGTTGTGCTCATCAGAAAAGAGGACTTTGGACCACTTTGGACCACTGAGCAACAGACCAGTTCTCTTTTTCTTTAGCCCAAGTAAGATGCTTCTGATGTTGTTTGTGGTTCAGGAGTGGCTTGACAAGAGGAATACAACATTTAAGCCCATGTCCAGGATCCGTCTGTGTGTGGTGGCTCTTGATGCACTGACTCTAGCCTCAGTCCACTCCTTGTGAAAGTCCCCAATACTTTTGAATGTCCTTTTCCTGACAATCCTCTCCAGGCTGCAGCCATCCCTGCTGCTTGTGCACCTTTTTCTTCCACACTTTTCCCTTCCACATAACTTTCTATTGATGTGCTTTGATACAGCACTTTGGGAACATCCAATTTCTTTTGCAATTACCTTTTGAGGCTTTCCCTCCTTATGGAGGGTGTCAATGATGGTTTTCTGTACAACTGTCAGGTCAGCAGTCTCTCCCATGATTGTGCTTCCTACTGAACCAGACTGAGAGACAATTTAAAGGCTCAGAAACCCTTTGCAGGTGTTATGGCTTAATTAGCTGATTAGAGTGGGACACTTTGAGCCTAGAATATTGAACCTTTTCGCAATATTCTAATTTTCTGTAGATTTAGGGTTTTCATGAGCTGTAAGCCATAATCATCGCAATTATAACAAATCACAGCTTGAACTATCTTGCTTTGTATGTAATGAGTCTATCTCATATATTAGTTTCACGTTTTAAGTTGCATTACTGAAATAAATGAACTTTTGCACGATATTCTAATTTTTCGAGTTTCACCTGTATGTATGTATGTATGTATGTATGTATGTATGTATGTATGTATGTATGGTATTCAGCTTTGTTCGGGTATTTTCCCATGTCATTATAGTTGTGCTTTTAAAGTTGTAGCAACATTTCAGCAGAACTGAATACAGAAGCCTGATGATAGCAGATGAGATTCTGCCGAAACGTTGCTACAACTTTAAAAGCATAACAATAATGACATGGGAAAATACCTGAACAAAGCTGAATACTATACATGTAAGTACCTGCGAAAACTTCACACACACACACACACACACACACACGTTTTCTGAGGTTCTTGCGGGTATTTGTATGTGGATCTTTGGTTATTCGGGTTTTCTCCCATGTAAAATTGGCAGAATCTAGGCGAAGTTTCGATGAAATCTCATTCATCATCTTCAGGCTTGTGTCTTCGGCTTTGTGCTTCTCAGAGTAATGTGAGCTTGCAGCTGCTTCTTCCTTTTAACTGCTAGTGGGTGTGTGACTTGATTGGTTGGGGGCTTGGCTATGTTCTGATTGGGTGGGGGTGTGTTCTCATTGGTTGGGGGTTTGGCTGTGTTCTAATTGGTTGGGGGTGTGTTCTGTTCAGGTGAGGGCTTGGTTGTGCTCAGGTTAGTCTTAGTTGTTGGGGGATTTGAGCTGGTGAGCTGTGATCCTGCTGTTTGGCTTCACATTCGTGGTCGTGCCGCATCTTCATGGTGGGCATCAGTTCGCTTGATGTATGGGTCAGAGGGGTTTGAAGCGGGTAGTGATGCAGCTGCGGTGCAGCTTCTGGTCTGTGGTCATGTCTCATCTTCTGTGTGTGTGTGAGTCTGCTTTCTACGTGGAAGTGTGGTGGTAGCATCTTGCGTGGCCCTCGTGGGTGTGGGTCTGGTGTCATTCTTCATGTTAGGTACTCATCTGTTCATGAGGGCAGGTTTCCAAATGGCTGGTAGGTGGGAGGTGTCATCTCATTTATTCATGCTGTGTGGGCGTTTTTCTATCTCTATGGCTTCTCTGATTATTCTGTTGTTGAAGTGTTCGGTTTTGGCAATAGTTCTGGTATTTTTAAAGTCAATCTCATGTCTTGTGGCTTTGAGGTGTGTGACCAGGGAAGAGGTCAGTTCTTCTTTTTTGATTGAGTTCTTGTGTTCTTCAATGCATGCACTTATTCTTTTGTTAGTTTGTCAGATGTATGTGGTGGGGCAGGCGGTGCAAGGGATTTCGTATACTCCTTGGTTTTCTAACTCGATTTTGTCTTTAGGATTTCTTAGGATGGTGGATTTGTGCATTCTGTTTGTGCAGAATGCTGTTTTAATGTTGTGTTTTTGGAGGATCTTGCTGATTTTGTCTGTAGTGCCTTTTATAGATGGGAGGAGGGCTTTGCCGTTGTCTTGTTCTCTGTCTTGGATTTTGGTTGGGGTTTCTTTTTGGATTAGGTGGGTAATCTTTCTTTGGAATCCATTGGCTGTTAGTACGTTAGTGAGAGTGTGTAGTTCGGTTTTTAGGTGTTGTTCGTCGGCTAAGCATTTTGTTCTGGAGATGAGTGTCTCAGCTACGGAATTGATCTGTGCTGGGTGGTGATGTGAGACTGCGTGTAGATAGCATTTTGTATGTGTTTTCTTCTGGTAGATGGTGTGTCCTAGGGAGCCATTGGATCTTTTGTATACCAAGACATCTAGGAAGGGAAGTTGATTGTTAGCTTCTGTTTCCATGGTGAATTGTATTTTGGGGTGTAGGCTGTTGAGGTGTGTGAGGAAGTTGTTCAGTTTTTCTTTCCCATGTGG